GTTCTCTCTGTGTCTCACTCCCAATCTTGAAGTTGCAGCGAGTCAGGGACTAGACGGCTCTGCAGTGTGCCTCAGGGAGGATGACCCTGCCTCGGAGGCAGCGGCCCCGCCTGCTAGAATGGGACTGGTGAAGAGGAGGCCGGGGCTGCAGAGACCTGGCTTTGAAGTGGTGGCACCATCTCACCCTGGGGCCTGGTCAGGACCAGCCACTGTCTGGCCACTTCTTCCCATTGCCCAACCCACTTAGCCTGCTGGGTGGGGAAGGAAGGGGTGCTGGACATCTGGACCATAGCTAGGTCAGGAAGTCTTTGCCAAGATCCCAGGGAGCATCCTCGGGTTGGCAGTGGTTGGGAGGAGAACACTCAGGGCTCGTGTTCTCATGCCCGCCCCTTCCAGGCAGCCAGCCCTGACTGTGGGAGGCAGACGTGTGACCCCTCTAGCCAGCTATGCCCCTGCTGCCTGGCACTGTGGGCCTGGCAGGCCTGCTCTTCTGGACGGGCCAGACGGTGAATGCTCTCCTGATGCCCAATGCCACCCTGGCTCGGGCCCGGGCTGAGGGCACAGCCGTGCGTCCTCTGAGTGGCCTGGGGGTGCCCCGGTACCACCGGAAGCGCCACATCTCTGCCAGGGACATGAGTGCCTTACTGGATTATCACAACCACATCCGGGCCAACGTGCACCCACCTGCTGCCAACATGGAGTACATGGTAAGTGTCCGGGCCCTGCTCAGGGCCCCTTTCAGCAAATGCCATCTGCTCATCCTTGGCCTGCAGGGACTGGCTTTGAAGAGGTAACCATTTGCCAGTGGTGTCTGGGACCTGCGGAAAGGGCAGGAATTAACCCACCCCTTTCACATTTGAGGAGACGAAGGAGATTGCCTGGACTTTCCAGCGAGGACTATTTATGGGGCGCCTTTGTGCTCCGGGCACTGCCCATGGCCCCAGGTGTGCTCTTCCTTCAAGGCAGGTATTGTTCAGTCTAGCTTCCAGATAAAAAACTGAGGCTAGGAGAACCGATTGGCCAAGGTGGTCTCGCCAAGATTCCAGCCCAGGTCTTTCTGCTGCTAAGGTTGTGGTGACCCCGGGGAGGACCAGCCAGTGTGGGTGGGATGTCTGGCCTGCTGTCCCCTGTTGTCCCTGGAGCTGGAGGGAAACATTCCTTCACCCTCCCTAAAAGATTACGAGGCAGACAGCTCTGGGGAGATGTTTGGACTGCTCTTTTGGAACCCCCATGTCTGGCTGGCCCGAATTCGTCCTTTGTTTTGTTTTGTTTTTAAAATTGCCAGAGGGCATGTGCACTCACGAGAGAGAGAGAGAGAGAGAGAGAGAGAGAGAGAGAGGAGAGAGAGAGCACCTCTCAATGGGACATGGTCAAGTTGTAATCACGTCTTCACTTCTCCACCCTGCCGGGATTGGGAGCATGCACGCACACACAGCCCAGTGTGTTTTTCAAGCCGCCAGATCCAGAAATCGAAATGCACGGTTGGCCACGCGGGGTCTGGTTCTCCTAACCACTGGACAGCAGGGCCAGCCCTCGCCCTCTCTCAGTATTCATGTCTTCCTCGCTCGCTGACTTCCACCCACAGAGCAGATCTTCCACCAAACATCCCACATTCCAGAAGCCTATTCTCACACAGCCCTTGGAAACGCGGAGTCTGGCTTCACACTCTCATACCCACCAGGCCCATACTGCCACACTGATCGACTAACAGGCCACATCCTTGGTCGTCTGTGGGTCCTTAGTGCCTAGAAGCATCTCAGAGAAATAATATCTCGGCGAATCCCAGGGAGGCAGAGCTGCCAGAGAACTGGCCTTTCACTTTTTTTTTAAGAGAGATTTTTGCTATAAGGCACACATGTTTGCTAGAAAGACAGAGAGACAGAAAGGGAAAAAGCACCACCCGTAGGGGGATGGCCATGTTGCAATCCCTTCTCCTCTATTCTCCTTCAGGATTCTGAGCACTCATGCACACATGCCCGGTGTGAGTTTTAAACGACCCAGTTTGAGTTTTAAGTCCCCAGTTCGGACTCGAACCATAGTCGACTCTACGGGAGTCCAGAGACATAACCATTAGGGCATCTCTGGTCCCTGGCTTTTTCCTTTTATTTATTTACTTTTTAGTGGTCTGTTTTCTGGTTTAAAACATAGGGAATTCATACACTGAAAAATCACGAAGCTGTTATACAGGCTGAGGAGGGTATTCTTCATGCAGTGAGGTAGAATCAGCCTGTTAAGTGAAAAGAGAGAGGTACAGATTAGGATGTCTGCACGCTGCCATTGTCTAGAATATGAAAAATGTTGGGACCAGTAGATGGCATAATGGCTATGTTGCTGGACTCCCATGTAGTCGACCCCAGTTCAAGTCCTGGACTCAGTGGCTTAAACTCACACCGGGCACGTGTGCGTGTGTGCCCAAGATCCCGAGAGGAGAATGGAGGAGAAGGGATTGCGGTGTGGCCATCCCTCCTTATGTATGAAAAATGCATCTCTATATATCTTCTTGTACAGGTATAGGACATTTCTGGAAAAGGATCCAAGACACAGTAGTGATCGCTTCTGGGCACAGGATACAGGGTACTGGGGCCCAGGGGTACAGAGAGACAAGAGACTTTCTACTTTTCCTCCTTCGGATATATTATGTATTAAAATTGTGCACATTTTCACTATCCAAAAAAAGGTTTTTTAATTTAAAAATGCTTCATACATTTATTAAAATAAGCATATTCAGGACGTTGGGTAACAGGGAGCTGGATGAGGTGCAGGAGTAGAATGCGGTGCCCTGCGAGGCTGACCCATATGGGAAGGCTCCAGGTTCATGTCCAGAGGCCTCCCTGAGTGCACCAGGCATATGTGTGCCCGGGAGCTGGGGCTGGCTGGGCCTGGGGGTGGATTGTGGCATCAAGACCCTGTCCGGGTGCTGTCTCTTTGTCTCTCTCTATTCTTGTGCTCGGGGAAGAAACAAAGAAAGAAAGAAACTTTCAAAAGCATAATACAATCAATACAATATTTAAATGAGCTAATCTGCCATGACCCTGAGCTCCAGCACTTCTAGGGGCTGAGGAGAACTCCTGGACAAGCACCCTGGGTCCCCACTCAGAGCGGAGAGCCCTGAGTACAGTGATGGGAGAAGAGAGAGCGGCCCTCAGAGTCAGAGACCCTGTGTGGACCTTGAGATCTTGGACTCACGGTTGGCCCTGGCATCATGGGTCTTCTCTGAGCCTTAGTTTTCTTATGTGCCAAGTGGGTGTGAGCTAGGGTCACCAAGCCCCAGGAGGGAATGGCACCAGGGAGAGACGCACGCCCAGACACTCGTGGTGGTGGCGATACCCCTAGGAATGTCACGGCCCTTCTTTCCCCAGGTGTGGGATGAGCAGCTGGCCAGGTCCGCAGAGGCCTGGGCCAGCCAGTGCATCTGGGCCCACGGGCCCTCACAGCTGATGAGATATGTGGGCCAGAACCTCTCCATTCATTCCGGCCGGTGAGTGACTCTCTGCCTTTCCTTCACTAGTTATTCAACAAACACGCACGCTGTACCAGGCGCTGGCTCTGCGCTGACCGACGGTGGAGAGCCAGGCCGACACGCTCCCCGCCCCCAGGGGCCTGCGTTCTAGTAGGACAGGCAGCAACTGGGCAAACAGACGCGTGTGCGGGTCATTCGGGAGAGTGAGAGTGATTTGAGGGTCGTAAGGTAGGCTAAGGATGGCCATCGTGGGGGACAGGTTGGGGTACAAGGCTGGTGAAGGTGCGTCAGGCCCGAGAGCGCCTGCTGGAGTCTGGGACTGCAAAGCCACCCTTCTGGCCTGACTCCTGACCACCATTCTGACTCATCGGATCTGGGGGCCTGAGTTCTCACCTTGTGTGGTCTTGGGAAGTTGTTTTCCTTTCTGGATCTCTGTGTCCCTGTCTGTAAGTGACAGTGTTGGCCGGACTCAGTTCTTTGCGGATTTGTGTATGTCTGAAGCCAATCAAATTTCGAAAAGGTGTTTTTGAGACTGCCACAGATTGTCACGTTTTTATTATGCCAAATAAGAACACTTGAAAAACAGCTCTCTTCCCCACCCTGCTGTTCTGCCATAAACCCAGCCAGGGCTCCCCACTGAGCTCAGGGAGGCACTCGCTGGTCTGCACTTCATGTCCCCACTAGCCTGGGCCAGCCCTGTACGTGGGAGCCATGCACGGTCCCTCAGAGATGCCAGAGCAGACACTGGGAGATCCGATCTTTCCCTTCTCCCTAATGTTAACCTCTTCCTGCCAGAGTGCCCCTTGCCCCTTGGCCATCGGCTGGGAGTCTCACAGTGAAGGACACTGCTGCTGTGAATCACGATGTCCCCCAGCCGCCCCCCACCCCCAGCCCCGTGAGCCCTCTTGGGTTCATGGACCTCTGCCCCACATGTATGATAGAAAAGCTCCAGGTTCCACCAGGGGGCCTTGCAGACAGCAGAATCTCAGGCCGACTCACCTGGTGAGTGTCAGCCTTCTCCCCATCTCACATCCCAGAGGTCTCGGAGATGGCCAGTGAGCTGTCTCCTCCCTAAAAGCACAAGCTACGGGCCAGCTGGCGGTACGGAGGTCAAGGCAGCTGGATCCCACATGGCCGACTGTGGTTCAAGTCCCAGACCTGAAAGCTAGAAAAACACACCAGTTTGTGTGTGTGTCCAAAACCCCAAGAAAAAAAAAAAAAGGAAAGGAGAAGGGAACGTGATGCAGCCATCCCTGCTGGGGAGGCTTTCTCACTTTCTCTCTCTCTCTTTCCGCCTCTCTCTGGTAAATGCATGTATGTGCCCTGTAGCAAAATGTAAAACAACAACTAAAGCTCCCCTGTCAGAGATGCCTACCTCCTCCCGGCCCTTTGCCTGACAGTGAGTATGCTTTGTCGAGCACCCACTGTGTGCCAGGGCCAGGTAAATACTTTGCATGGGCCATCTCAAATGCTGCTCAGAACACGCCTGTGAGGCAGGTGAGGCTACCGTTCTCTGTCACGTTTGATAGACAAGGAAACAGGGAAGGGACACAAGCGACTCCCCAAGGTCACTGAAGAAGTTGGTGGCAGAGGGACTATTCTATGCTCCCATTCAGTGTCTCCCCTGTTTTCTGCCTCCCCAGGTACCGCTCGGTGCTAGATCTCGTGAAGTCCTGGTCTGAGGAGAAGCGGCATTACTTGTTTCCTGCCCCAAGGGACTGTAACCCACACTGCCCCTGGCGCTGTAGTGGCCCTGTCTGCTCCCACTATACCCAGGTACGCCTCTGAGGCCCGACAGGAGAACGAATCCTGGCACCTAAGAAGAAAAAAGGATGGGGTGGAACACTAGAGAGAAAGAAAGAGAGGGGGAGAGTAAGAGGGAAATAGAAGGAGAAGGACAGCAGGAAAAGAGAGAGCGAGAAAAGGAATAGAGCAGCATGGAAAATATTAGCTAGCATGTATCAGACAGGGTAAGTCTAAGTATTGGTTCATCCAACTTTAAGCTTATTTTTATTCATGATGGGGGGTATGTACACACTTAAGAGAGAGAGAAAGAGGGAGCCAGCACCCTCAACAGGACCATGACACATGTGATCCCTTCTCCCCCACCCTCCAGTTCCTCAAGATCATGGGCACCCACGTGTGTGCCCGCTGTGTTTTCAGGCTGATGGGGGAGCTGAGCTCGCAGTCGGCGATGGCTGTTAGCACCGCAGTTCAGTCTACTACTGACCGTGCCACCTGGCGAGGCCACTTCATAGATTTACGTTCCAGCTGTGTGCGTGCGCGTGCACACATGTGCATGTTTGTGCACAGGACGACACTGTAAACTGTGTTCCTTCCAGCTGGCCAGTCATGAAGAGCTGGAGTGCTTCTCACGTGCTCCCTGTCTCTGCCTTCCCCAGATGGTGTGGGCGTCCTCCAGCCGGCTGGGCTGTGCCATCCACACCTGTGGCAGCATCGACGTCTGGGGCAGCACGTGGCGTCAGGCTGTCTACCTGGTCTGCAACTATGCCATTAAGTAGGTACCAGCACCGGCACGGGGGCCCTCTGTGGTAGGAGGGGGGACCCTGAGCAATTTGAAGAAGAGAGAGACACACACGACACCCCTCCTTTCTACAGCCTACCCACCCTCGATATCATACGAACAATTTTGGCAGTTTGGGAAGAGCCCATTGATAATCCTTTTCCTTTATCCAAGTTTCAGAAGCAATTAAGAGCAAACCAGGCAGGTAGAAAAACAGCGTCACTGAAGAAGCCAACAATGGAGAGGGTGGCTCAGAGCGGCCCGTCTGCCAACCGAGACTGGCAAATGTCTCAGTATTAAATTAGACCCAGATACCCAGGACCAGCTGCAGAGGACAACCACAGGCCTCTTCTTACAAGCACAACATTAGCCCCTCTAGGCAGCCAAGAATGCAAGCTTTCTGCAGGCAGACAGATTACAAAAGAAAGGAGGGAGGAAGAAACAGCGCGCCTAGCTCCTTCCCAGCCTCTCCAGCCAGCTCGGTTAGGACCCTCCTCACGCAGTCCCTTGGGAGCCCGAGAGTGGGAATGGAATTCCCCATCCAATGTACAACATGCAAGCTTACACACATCAGAGATCTTGCACCTGAGTTTGAAACTCAACATTGCATATTCTCACACACATTCCAAAAGAACACATTCTAAGTGAACGGAACATTTAGAATTCCAAAATTACAAAATAATAAACCATTTTACTCTCATATAGCCCTTGATCATTTGCAAAATACTTTCACCTTGGTATCTCATTGAAGAGACGAAAGAGAGAAGGAAGGAAAAGAGAGACAGTCTAGGAAATACTGTTTCCTTTTATGGATCAAGCTATAGAGGCTTGGGGCTGGCCCTGTAGTGCAGTGGTTAAGAACTATGCACAGAGAGCTGGATCCCACAGGGCTGACTGCAGTTCAAACCCCAGCCCTGGTGGCTTGAAAGGCATGCTTCCCCAAAATCCTGATGGGGAGAAGATGTGCAGACGAAGAGATTGCAGTACGACCAAACGCATGGGTGGGGATGGGGGAGGATATGTGCTCTCTCTCTCTCTCTCTCTGTTTCTCTGTCTCTCTCTTGCTAGTGAGTGCACACACCCTCTGGCACTAATCCTGATGCCCAGTAGATGCTCAGGACGTGCTCACTGAGTAAACAAATGAATGGATGGATGAGTAAATCCTGTTAGGAAATGAGAAGTGTGTACCTTTCTGGACCCTTTGGCTGACTTTTCAACCGTCGCTTTGGAAGGGAAAAGACCCCATTTCTGCCCACAAAGGAGTGTTCGTTTAAGGCGCGAGGAAACAAGGCACTGGGACTTGCAAGGATAGCTATTATGACAGACCCGTGGTGAGAGCATGAGGCAGCCGTGAGCAAGGGCTGGAGGAAGGGTTTTACGCTTTGAGAGGAGCAAGGGGGAAAGCACGAGAAACCCATGGACGGGATGAAGAGAGTGAGGGAAAACGAGGTGGCCAATGAGACCCACGTGCTTCCAGGGCAGTCTGGACCACCTGACCGAAGGCTGTTGGCATGATTCTCTGTCTGTGGTCAAGTTAGCCTGCTGTCTGTTTTTGTGAATAAAGTTTTATTGAAACACAGCCATAGCATTCCTTTACACATTGTATACAGTTGCCGTATACGATGGAGGTAGCTGGCCTGAAAGGCCTAAAATATTAATATTGACCATTTAGCCCCTTACAGAAAAGCTTGCCAACTCCTGCACAGGCAAGGGGAAGCCCATGAAGGCTCTGAAGCTGGGCAGTGATGTGATGAAAGTAGTGTTTTTGTTTGTTTGTTTGTTTGTTTGTTTTTATTTAACCTTATTTGAGATATAATTCACATACCAGACCAACCAATGATTTTTGGTATATTACATTTTTTTTTAATTATGAAAAATGGCCTAGCAGGTGGTATAGAGGTTAAGGTACTGGATCCTGTATGGCTAACTGAGCAGTTCGAGTCCCAGAGACAGCGGCTTGGAATCATGCCGAGTATGAGTATGAGTGCCCAAAATCTCAAGAGGAAACTGAAAGAGAAGGGACCGTGCTGTGGCCACCCCTCCAAGGGGTGACTTCTCATTCCCCACCTCTCTGTCTCTGTCTCTCTCCAGTGAGGACTTGAAAAACTGAAAAAAAAAAAAACTGTGGTAAATATATATATAATTTGCCATCTTAGCCATGTTTAATGTGCTAAGTGGTATTAATTACAGTCATTATCTATTTTAAAACTTTCTCATCACCCCGGAGAGGAACCTTGTTCCTCTCCTATTAAGAAATAGCTCCCTATGCCCCCTCCTCTCAAGATGCAGTGGTCTCCGGAGAGGAGGAATTCAGGAGCAGGTTAGGATGGACTGGGAGGAAGTGGAAAGGAGCCCACAGCAGTGACCCCATGAGGCTGATGGGCAGTCCTGAGGTTCAATTCCCTAATTACCGTATACGCACAGCCCCCGGCAGGTTTTCTCCTTGGTCATTTCTTATTTTCACTGATGAGATGGTTACCTGTCACCAGCTGGCAAGTGCCAGAACTCAGATCTGCCTACTCCAGGGGGGTGGGGGGGGGGGGAAGAAATCAGCCCCCACAGGGGAGTTGTTTATTTTGCAGGCAGGTGCTAGGACATCGGTGCTCTCCCTGCATCCCCACGTGGGAGGGCCGTCTTCTCTTGGTTTTGCAGACGTAGCTTACAGAGGACCCAGCCGCGGTTAACAAGGCCAGGCAGTGTCAGTGCTGAAAAGCAAAGTCCATGTGAGGGCTGCTTACCTAACGCTTCCTGTCCCCGACCCTTTGGGACCTTTTCTCTTCCAGGGGCAACTGGATCGGCGAGGCACCGTACAAGGTGGGGAGGCCATGCTCCGCCTGCCCCCCCAGCTACCAAGGCAGCTGCAACAGCAACATGTGCTTCTCAGGGCGCAAGTCCAACGCGCTCCTGTGGTTCTGAACTCTGCCGGGGCTCTGGTGCCCTCCAGCCGAGGTCCCTCCGAAGACTGGGTGGATGGATTTTTTCCCCCTAAAGGACCTGAGGTGGGCTCACAGCATGGATCTCAATTGTCCTTCTAGAGGCTCCTAAGCATCCAGAATATGTCAGAAGAAAACGACCTGCATACCTTCCTTCTTTCCTCAACTCCATCTTCCTCTTACTGCACCCTTTTTCTTTTTAAGAATTATTTTATTCAATTTCATTTACTCATTCATTTATTTTAATTTGACCAGAAAGAGAGAGAAAGTAAGAAGGCAAGCCACCAGGTCCAGGACTCGAACCGTGGTCGGCCATGTGGGAGTCACTGCACCTTTAATTAGCACTATTCTCAGGGCCAGAGCTGGAGGGGGCAGCCCTGACAGCTTAGGTTTTAAATCTGAAAGACTTGGTGCAGCCTTGGAAAGACTTTGAACACCTAATCTTGAGCCTGCCTGTACTCACTGGGCAACCTGGGAGGCCCTGTGTGGCT